TTATAGAAGTAAAGTAAAGTAAAGTAAAGTAATAAGTAACTTATTACTTATTACAAAGTAATAAGATGAGTATTACTTAGCATGCACCAAGCGACACGCTGTATTCGATTCTATGCATTGCTGCTGAGTGCACGTCTCTGTGTTACATCGCTATGTAGTGTATACGTGTGTTCATGTATTTGTGGACACAGTCGACTGACCGTATGAACCGTTATACACATAAACCAACACGATCGCATAACAACGAATACAAGACACGTACAGACATAACAACCATACAGCGTGTTGCTTGGTGCATGCAACAAAATATCGCATGAAAATATCTAATATTTTTATTCACGCTGATAGAAATATTTGTTAGCGTGCTCTGATCGCTGTAGCAGCTTGAAAAAAATCAAATTTCGTAAAACAAATGATGCAGAGATTTAAATTGATGTGGTTGAAAATTGAAAAGAATGTAATAACCCACAAGATAAGGGGGAAGAAAATTTTGGAATTCTGCTATAATTTCGCATTTTTTTACTGCAGTACATGAACACAAAAAACTTTCGATACAGCTATCAAATGAGAGCTGGTTCTGGTCCGTTGACATTCCGTTATTCGCCTGATTTACTGTATTAGATAAGATAAGTATCATACTCATTTGTATTGCTTTGAAGTATTTGAACAACTTTGTGGTTGGCCAACCATATTCCAGCTTCCGTGACCACGGGGCGAACCACGTGAACTCCTGTTTGACTGTAATCTGCATAATCTATCAGTTCCTCTCCGTTGATATACTTTTGCTGTTGGAATATTGAAAAGATATTAGAAGTTTCAGAACTACATTACAATAAATAGTCTTACCTCCGTAAGACGAACTTTTCCGCACCGTTTTCATAGCGTTCAGCTTTTATTCAGATTTTGCCTAGGAAATTTATAAGAATTTTCAGAAAAACATAACAGTACGTTCATGTATTTTATGGAAAATTGTATTATGATTCCGAAAATCTTGATGTTGGGCATTCAAATGAAATAAAACGTCTGATTGTCTTTATTGTCGTCGAAAATGTGACGAGTTGAAAAAAATACCATTTAACACCATAAATAACAAATACCATATAACCACATTTTCCTTGACCAAAATCATAACGCGTCTTTCTTTTACATTGTATTTATATGGCAGCCTTTCGAATCCATAGAACAACATGAATGAGTGAACAGCGAAGGAGTGATTTGAAACTCTCATACGCGATTTTTAGCAAAATTTAGAACAAAAAAATGCAAGAAATTTTGAATTATTATACCGATTTGATACGAAAAATGTAGGTTAGAGGGTGCTAGGTTGTTCCTGGGCCCCTATTATTTTGATGAAAGAAATTGGGTGGGAGTGATAAAATCCACCTGGGAGCCTATTTTTGGTACCTCCCGAACAAAAGTTCGATTTTTTGAAGGTTTTTCATAGGCTAGGTTTCCTAGGGTACATCTGGGGTGGCTGAAAATTTAATGGTTTCCAAGTCTAACGAAGCACAAACGTTTGGTACTTGCAGAATTTCGTTTCCTATTCTGGTATTTGAGCAATCGCGCTTACAAATTTTTGCGTACAGCGTACAGCGTACAGGGTACGACACACCCACATTAACATAACAAAATAACCACTGTATCGTGCGTTTTGGTGTCGAAAATGGATAGAAAAATGGTTTTTCGGGGTACCTAGGTTTTGGAGTGATTACAATACTTTTACTCACGACATGGGCGTGCGAAAAAGTAACAAATAATGTTTTCACACTCAGTGCGATATTGAATATTTCTTCTCCGCTGAGGCTTTTGAATAGTTCCGTATTCTCAAACTCATCGATCAAATATATATTTTCTGCATTCAACGATCCAATTATTCTCATATAATGACTGTAGTCACGATAGGTTCTTGAGTCGTGATTTATGGTAGAAATATTTTCAGAGCGTTGATAATACTCGTCAATAAAACTTTCGTTCACATAATCCGAAGAAATCGTGAACACTGGCACATTATATGTCCAATCACGATAATTTACTTTCATAGTAAAAATGAATGGATCGTGTATGAATCGTGTCACTTGATCGATGCAAATGGAAAATGCAAAATAAGTGAACAACAGGACCAATGCTAACCATCCGACTCTAGAATGAAATAAAATAGTTTCATTCTCAATGAAGAAATGGAAAAAAATATGAGCTGAAACCTTTCAAGCGCCGTATAATTCCTGTTGGCAATGTGATTGAATCCATGGAGATTTGTTTCTTCACAGAATTTCACAAAAAACGAATTTCGTTGAAAATATCGAGAAATTTTCGTCAACTTAGACTTGATCAAAGAGAAAACATTTTACAAAAATTCACTAAAATCCAATCTAAAGTCGTTTAGCTTCGTAAAATAGGTAGAAATGAACTGACAATATATATATAATAAGGTAATGTTCCCTTAAACGGGACGCACTTCGACATGGTTTTTTATCTTTGACTAGTGGCAATATTTTCGAGAATGTGATATACCGTTGGAAAGAGGATGAGCAAAGGAACCTTTTTGCCTTAGACAGTTTTTTATTTACATTACAAAAAAAAATTTATCGCAAAATTTCCGACCATGACGAAAATCGGAAAAAAAAATTTTGTCTCCTTAAATGGGACACTCCGAAAAACTGAAAAATAAGCGTGAAAATGAAACAATAAGATCATATTTTAAATGTTTATTCATTGTTTATTCATTTAATCGACTTTCGGATTAAAATAAGTGACAAAAGTAATGAGTAATGATGTTTATTCGTCGCTTTCTTGATCTACGACTTCATTTTATAGTTAAGCTCATTTGGGCATACCTACACTTTATTGACAGTAGCCAAAATTGATTTATTTTTCTATGGTGTAGCTGGGGTCGAGTATGTTTCAAATATATGCCAATTTTTTCCGCACCCCACTGTGTATCCAAAAATGGGCGACCATGAAAATCAGGGTATTGACACCAAAGGTCATATCTCCCCAGCCATGGGAGGGAGGGCACTGTTCCTTGGGTCAAAATTGTAGTACTCGTGAATACCTATCCAACGGTATACATTTACATTTATTTACATTATGTTTGAAAAACCGGTACAAGAAAAAAATTAAATTTTCGGGTCAAAAAAGTAATTTTATCCCCGTTTTCTGGGCCAATGGGTGGATTTATCGTTGGAGTGTGTTGGTGAAAGTTGTAGAGCGACTCACGACGAACAACTTTGCTGTAGACCATTTTGCCCCATCTTACCCCCATCTTGCTTAACTTAAAAATGCAGAGTGTCCCGTTTAAGGGAACATCGCCGTCCCATTTAAGGAAAAAGCCGACATTTTTGCGAGTCACCAAAAAAAAAAATTTATGACGCGATATCGAAAAATGAACTTTGCAGCTTTGAAATAGACACAATTTACAAACTATCCAATATATTTACCTTCAACAAATGTTAAAAACACTTCAAACTGTGGGTGTAGGCGAATTGATCAAAAAAGTTTTGTTGTACACAAATTTCACGACACAATTTTTTCTCACACACGCGGTACGTCTATTCTCTTCGGAATACTACCAAAAGTGAGCGTTCGTTGAGCTAATCGTTTGGTATAAATGACAGCTCGCTGTCAAACTCAGAAGTCAAAAATACTTGACTGTCCCGTTTAAGGGAGCGTCCCGTTTAAAGGAACATTACCTTACTAATCATAATAGACACGTAAGGCTCATTTTATAAAGAGCGCGTTTAAATCGATAAAAAATGCAATTTAATTTTATTCAAATCACATAATAAATTAAGGTCACACATAACAGAAGCGAATATAATTCCACTAGTGATTTTATTAATTGGATTTTGGAATACAACCTTTGGAAATTGAAATGGTGTGCTGTGTTCTCTATGGATTTAATTTTGTAGATTGGATTTACTTTTAAAATTTATTTTTTGCTAAATATGATTAGGTTTTGTGATAAAATATTACAACAAACATGATACGTGTATATTTCAAGATTGCAAAAATACATCCAAGTGTAGTAGCACACAGGATATTACTATCGACGCCACAAGCTGTCACTAGACGTATATGCTCTTGCAGGAACATTTCGTTTTCATTTTATTTGTGTTTTGTGACCTCGAGCTTTTTCTTAGGCCGCTTGATTCAGCCTCTTCACTTTTTATCCTACAGCTTATCAATACAGTATATTACCAGAAGTAATTTTGATGTTTCTGTATCTTCCGTTACTGATATCAAAAATAGTTCGTGGTATGAACTTGGAGCCTTATGCAAATGTGGATATATTTCATACGGTCGTGTTTAATTTTAAGAATGAAAGCCCAAAATGTGAAGAAAGACATGAACACCAATCAATGTAAACATGGTGAATAAAACCTCTAAAATTTAGAGTCTAAATTAAAGCAGCTCGCTTAAAATCCATGCAAAATTCAAAGATGAATAATTTCCATCAAACTGAGAAGCGATGCACTGAACAATAGACCGACAATGAAACCATTGAAACTGAGCGTTGTTGTGATAACTTGATGACGACTTGATTATAGTGAGTAAAACCCAAACAAATGCTATTAAAATTAGTTCATCAATACAAATACAAATACAAATACAAATACAAATACATGACTTCGGATCGAATGCACAGGCACACTTCGCGCTACGATATGTATTATCATTGTTTTTATGACTAAACGTATTTGCTTGCGATATATCATGTCGAAAGTTGAATAAATTTTAATAATAATGTCATTAATTTTAAGTTGATATTCAGAGACTCCATACTCGTCTGATCGATTATAGTCCAGTTTGAATGTATGATAGATGTATTGATGATCTGCCTTTTTTAGCGAACTCCATCAATCATCGATTTTTTTTCTATGCAATAATAACATATCAAATGACCTGCATTGCATTGATATAAAGAGGAATATAATTATACTATTAAACAGTAAATTATAATTACAACGTGAGAGCTGTTCAATACAGGGTTCAAAAAAAGATTATCATTTATTCCACTTGCCGTAGCAACATTTTATTTGAAATTTTAGTGTTTTTTTACAGTGTTTTATTCTATAGAAACATAGATGTTTCATAAAATATGATATAGATGTTTCTTCAGTAAATCCTTTTTGGTGGAACGGTATTACAAGGTATAAAATTTGGTCGTGGCCGTATCGTAGTATACACTGTCGTATGTTCTATTTCATCATGCTTTGAAGGAATGTATGCCGAGAAGCAAATCTTCAAATAAAAAATTTAAAAACAAAAACTGATATTCAATTCTTACTCATATATTGTTCAACTTACTTGGCAAAGAGTCAATAGAAAGAAAATCTTGCAATTCATTCTGAGGCTTCCACTCTGCATCACAGTCAAATTTGTTTTGAGACAATGCAAGTTAATCTTTTCGTTTGCATTTTGACATTCGTATGTTGATTATTTCATGAGAATGTTTATAAATATAATGGAGTGTTATCTAAATTGACCGTTCACCAAAAATAATTTATGATTATATTTTCCTCAAATTCGCTATCATTACCCAATTCAGTAAATTAATGTATATCACTGTTTACATTTTAAACGGTCAAGGATGTTGACTACATTTTATCACTATGATTTGTTCTCAAAATGGTCCATACGAAGTGTCGTTGTTCTGATTTGATGTGCAAATGGAAAAAAAAATCTTCAAAAAAAGGAAAATTATAAAAGATTGTTGATGTATTATTCATCAAACGAACATTACTTTAAAAATAACGACGAGTAGAAACACAGCACAGGTTACAAGATCCATTAGTTGAACACTTTTGATTCCAGTGTGTAATTGATTTGAATAGTAACTCAACAATGATAACTATAAAGATAGGTCTGACGTCTGAGGTCTGAGTTTCATTAATTAAGGCATTGGCTCAATTTGGAAAATAAGCACCAAATGTGGACTTCCCTTTGCGATAGACCTAATAGGCAATTTCAATTGAATTGAATTATCACATTAACGGGTTTTGTGTTCTATTTTCTATTTATTTATATATTTCCTGTGTGTTCACAGTCGTCATTATCAAAGACGGAAAAAGAATATGTGTGTGCGCTATTCAAACAACATGCAGCATCGATTTGTTCCAGTCTGGGCGCTAATTACTGTAACAGACAATCACACACAAATGTTCGCTGATTCGAAATCTGAAATGAAAATAATTCCAAGACCATTCCATGTTGAAAAACCAAAATTTCCATTTATTTTCTTTTCTTTAATTATCAAAAGAGGTAAATTCTGATGAGAATGAGACTTAAATTGGTAAAAAAATGAAAAAATAAAGAATTTCTTGCACATTGAATCAAATAATTTCAAAATGATATATTATTGAATTTCATTTGGTGATTGATAGCTTTGAACCAAGCTGTAAAACAGACGATGCATGGGATTCGTTGCGCATGAATTCATGATGAGCTTCAATCAATTGAATGGCCAAATCGACTGGATTCTCGTGGAATCTGCATTGATTAACGCATTCGACGACTGCTTTTGAACGTTGACGATTTTCAACGGGGACAAAACCGTTTGGCTTGATGATTCCTTCTTCGAAAGCCATTTCTTGTTCGGGCGTCCGTGGTCGTGGAATTAAGCCCAGGAAGTTGCAGTAGGCGCTTTGTTCGGCTTCGCTCTTAAAGTACATCGAGCCCGAGTACATTTTTAATTGAGCTACGTCATTCACATCAAGGGCAGCAGTACTCGGCTTGGCTGTTACTCGCAAATCCTGCTGATCCAACAAATCGCTGTGCAACTTGCTCAATGTCGGACGAAATGGGAACAGGATAGATTTCGTGCTTTTGCGGAATGTGACCAAAAGGCGATCACATTCGAACGAGCTGAGCACGACCAGAATATGACCATCGTTTTGGGCGTCAACACGTGCAATCCACCAAACTGGCCTTAGGAATTGATCACATAGATGGGTTATATTGGCTAATACTCGAACGAAGTCTTTTGTGACGTACAAATGGTCGGCCCAGTTTGGCTGATTTTTGTATTTCTCGAACAGTTTCGTGTGCATCAAACCCGTGGCAAACGGCACAAGTGTTTGTGTTCGTTTGATTTCCGAAAATATTTCCCCGGTTGCACCAGACACCATCAGAGATATCAATTGTTGATCAAAGGTCGGATTGGCTGGATCCAGTTTGGGTGGTCGTTCAATTTGGCGCTCTTCTTCAATTTCCTGTTCCAATTCCTTCTCTTGCTCTTCGTCCAAGGAGTGCACGAAACGTTTGACATCCGGCGCTTGTTTCTGAAGTTTTTCAAACACTCCGTCATCGATGCGTTGAACAAACTGGTTAATTCCAGTGTCTTCTTCGTATTGATTCGTCAATGTTGCGAATTTCCGTTTCGATATATCGCTCAATTCAACCTCCTCTTTGTCGCCGTACATTTCTTCCAGTGTGAGATATTCGTTGTCGACACACTTCTCGTACAGATTCCGTATGGCCGCGTCATCCGTTGAATCATCATAGAGTTTATGAGCGGCCAATTTCTTCGTGTAATTGTAAGCGGCAGACGCCCAATGCACCGTGTTTTCCACCTCAAACCGTCGGCTGTTGTTGCAAATGAAATCAATGACATGCTCATTGTTGACACAATCGTGGAGCGACAGATTGCACGTATCACGGATGCGAAGATCAGCTTCGAAGGATGCCCAAAATGCGATCGAGTGACCTTTACCGAGTTGACGCATTCGCATGCACGCTTGCACGGTTTTATCGCGTGTTATTTCACCGGACAGAGTGACACAAGCCTTCCAACCCAACGGAAATTTCAGATCGGTTCCGCGAGTGTGAGTATCGTCTAGATATACCAAGCATCGATTCAAATTCTCGCGATAAACCGAACAATCGAACTCGGCCACGACGTCATTCCGATCGACGGTTTGCAAAACGTCTTGTGAGTCAAAGTAAACTGCTGCGTCAAAGAACGAGTCCGATGCCATCTTGAGCCATTCCTCGGCCACTTGCTTGTTGTTTAATTCCAACATCAATGCGCCCGAGTCTAGAAGCACCGGAATTTCGAAGTTGACCAACTTCTCAATGATTGCTCTGGCGCTCACGTTTGGCGGTAGATTTTGATAGTCTTGGTTTTCTGGTTGCAGCAACGTTTGACGGACGCGTTCGTTGGTGTCTTCCAATTCAGCGAGGTCATTCTGGGCGATCGGCATTGGTAGGATATTCTTGGTGTCATTTGTCCCACTGAAGCCAGTCACTCGATGCTGCATGTGCTCGCTGCACAGATCCCAAGCGGTGGAAATCAATTTATTCTCGAACGATTTGGCTTCGCGTGGAAAAACGACGTGCGAAAGGTAGAAGTCGATGATGTCCATGTTAAAGCGAAACAGCGGGAACAGAATCTCTTCGCGTTGGAATGGATCGCTCAAATTAAGGCCGGAATACGATTCGATTGATGGTTCGATAAGTTTTGGTGTAATGCTCGTGATCCATTTTTCATAGACGGCAGCCGCATTTTGTGTCTTGGCCAAAATTCGGAAAGCTTGGAACATTTGTTCATCGCTTAGACCTGAAATAAATAAATGAAAACGTCTCAATTTTCTACAAACGAACTTTTGAATTGATTTAAAGTTAAGTTTGAATTATTCTGGTATTATAACTTCACCTGAATAATAATAGCTCAGCTGAGTGAGACAGATAGCAACATCCGGATGCCCGAACTCGGTCATTTCCGCGGCGACGTCTTTTGCTTTGAATGGAATTGCCATTTTTCGAGTGCCATTTTCATTGACTCCATAGCTAACGCGCCATCGTTTTGTTAAAACCAACTTCAGTACTTCGAATCGCAACAAACCGCTTAAAATCAGAATTGTTTTGCGATCGGCTACACTTAAATCTTTGAACGCCGATTGAAATGTTTGTTCATCAATGACGGTAGCGCTCATCAGTACACGCAAGCCTTTCTTTGTCGATGCCGATACTTCGGGGAAAGTTATATTCATACGTCCATCAAGAAAATCGTCGATCAGTGCTTCTTTCAGCAGAGGATAGATCGATTGATTGAGAATGCGACATGGTGTGAATACGTCGTCGCGGTAATCGACCTTTGGTGCTCCATATACATGACCATTTTCCACGTAATCAATGTTGAACTCCAGCTTCTCTTCGCCGTGCTCATGGTACAATCTTTTCATGTGGAATGGAACGCGTTTGAGTAGAGCCTGTGTAACGACCCATCGTTTTGAACCACCATCAATCGAAAACTGACTGCCAACCGTGTAAATCAACTGATATTTTGCGTGTAGAATCGCATCCGATTCATCCAAAATGCTCCGCACATTTGCATTGATCCATTTGTGGGCGGCGAGGAACTCTCGTGCGGTATTAATGTCGCCTTTTTTTACTGTTTCGTAGATCTTCAGCTGGAATGACAAGCGATACTCGGGCAGCGTAAGAATCACTCCTGCGGAAAAATAAACAATTTACATTAAAATTAAATATTATTCAAAATTGATTCGTCTCTGGTCTAATTTACCTTTGTATTTGTCATGTCGCTCACTAGCTCGACGTGTATGGCTTTTGTTGCCATACACACAAATATGCATATGTATGCTTTCACAATCTTTGCATTTCGAAGTTTCGATGTTTTTACGTATACCGCTCCCGTGAAATCAATCATAGTATTCGTGAACGGTTTATTCACGACGGTTGTCCTCGTCGTCGGCAAATTGCCCATCATTTGATGAGCTGTTTTCGGGCGAAATTTCCTGCAAATGACGCAGTTTTTGAGCTGCTTTTTGATCGTCGTTTGCCCATTGGTGATCCAAAACTTCTTTCGAATCAACGCTTCTGTTAATTTGGGACCAGTATGAAAGTTTGTTTCATGCACATCACGAATTATTAATTTTGCAATTTCACTTTTTTTTGGAATTAGAATCGGATGACGCATTTCGAATGGAATGTCTTCGTTGGTGATTCTGCCGCCGACGCGTAATATGCGTTTTTCGTCGATGAATACGTTCAATTTTAATAACTCACTGGTTTTTTCGATTTCTTTGCATTTTTCCAGGTCATTCACTTCACATTCGTAATATTCACTTTGCGCTATACGAATGATAAAATTCGTTGCTTTTTCTATTTCATTCGCAGTAATCGGAGCACCTTTGTTTTCGACTTTTATTTCTACGTTTTGGCATTTGATGCCTTTTTTCAGTGCCACTTTTGCTTTTAAATAGTCAACAAAACGAATGATATATGCAAACACTCTTTGCATTTTTTTCCATGACGATATGTTAGGCCAAATGATTTTTGAATCGTCAACAAATAACTTTTTTTTCATTTTTTCTTCACTCGTCACCACTAATGCATGAATTTTTTCTTCGTTAATTGCTTCGATATTGCCTTCCGATTGAACATCATAGTTCATTTTTCCATTTAAAAAATGTGGCCCGTGCCACCACAACGGATGATCGACTAATTCATCACCAAAAATCCCACGCGATGCGCAATCTGCTGGGTTTATTGCGCCCGGGATGTGGCACCATTGTGCATCTTTTAACTTGTTCACCTCTTTTATTCTTGACGCGACAAATTTTTTATATCGTAGTGGATCTGAACAAATCCACGCCAATGCGACCTTTGAATCGCTATAAAGAACAGTTTTTTCAATGTTCATGCTCATTGCTTTTCGTACGGATTTCACCAATTTTACCAGCAAAACGGTTGCACATAACTCCAATTTCGGAATTGTTTGTTCAATCATTGGAGCATTTTTCGTTTTTGCTGCTACTAGCATTACGTTTACTTGTTGATTTTCGTTTACAAATCGTAAATATACATTCGCAGAGAGTGCTTTTTTACAAGCGTCGCAGAAACCGTGCACCTCTACTTTTGTATTTACTGTAGTACCAAGCCACCGCTGCATTTTTATTGAGCTCAATGCACTCAATCGTGATTTAAACAACATCCAACGGTCGATGATTTCGATTGGCAATTTGTCATCCCAATCATACGATTTTTTATTTTCCTTTTTTAATTGCCACACATCTTGAAACAATATTTTTGCTTTGACAATGACCGGAGCGATCCATCCAAGAGGATCATATTGCAATGACGCGATTTCAGAGGACAATTGTCGCTTCGTTTCTGGTTTTGATTTCAAATTAACAGTGATTTGAAAAATGAACTCATCGGTTTCAGGTTTCCACGGAATACCCAATGCTTTCACGAACGATTTATTTTGTTCTTCTTTGTCGCAACCTGGCACACATTTTAATAACTCCGTCGAATTGCTTACTAATTTGCGTAAATTGAAGCCAAATTCATCAAATGCCTTTTTCATTTCTCGATGCGTGCACAATGCTTCTTCGACAGATTCTGCTCCGCCCGTGTAATCATCGACGTAAAAACATTTCATTATTGCTTTTGCTGCTCGTGGATATTTATTTTCGATTATTTTTGCAATTTCATGCAATGATCTTATGGCGAGAAATGACGAATTTTTTAATCCAAACGTAACTGTTGTCATTTTATAGCTTTTGATGCGCTCAGTGCCCGAATTACGCCACAAAATCATCTGAAGATGTTGCTGCTTTTCATTGAGTCTGATTTGTTTGTACATTTTTTCAAGATCAGCGACGATTGCAATTTTCGATTCTCTCCATCGTAGCATTAATTCGAAGATCGACGGTTGCACAATTTTTCCGACTGCCAGCTGTTCATTTAAAGATTTACCATTTGAAGTTTTCTGTGACGCATTATACACTGATCTCAATTTTGTGGTTGTGCTCTCCTTGAACACTGCGTGATGAGGAATGTAATGCGCTTCATTTGGCGGATTTTCTACCAAAACTAAATGTCCACTCTCAATGGATTCCTTCACTACGGCGCTATACTGTTTCTTTAATTCTTGGTTTTTTTCGAATCTTTTTTCTAACTGGAACAGAGTCGCTAAAGCCGATTTGCGCGAATCGCCAAGCTCTGGCCATTTTTCATTTTTAAATGCCATTGAAACATTCAATCGGCCATCGTCGTCTCGTTTTGTATTTTTTACGTAATGCTCTTCGCAATATCTTTCTTCTTCAGACATTTCTGGCTCATTGTCCTCACTCTCAATGCCGTCAACATCTTCGGAAACGAAAAATTCAGAGATTTTCTTTTCAATTTCCACATTTGAAATTAAAGTCGTTATTTTCATAGTGTTGTTACGTTCTTCTTTACTTTGCGGACCCATGATGAGCCAGCCTAATTCAGAGTTCATTGCAATTGGCGAATCTTCGGCACCCTTGATCAAACCGTGCTTAACAATTTTAGAAAATTCAGCCACTCCCAACAGTAAATCAATTTCACCGTCGTCATTTACCGTTGGATCGGCGTATAATAAATTTTGTAAATGATCATAATTTGCCAAATCGTCTTTAAAATACGCAAGATTCGTTATTTTTTTCAAAATGATTACATCAGTGTCTAATGAATATTTGTCAGTGAAATGCGGTTGTACCGTAATTGGAGCTATTTTCTTTGCCGTTTGAGTGCAGGCAGCTACTCCTTCTACATCCGCAATTATTCTATCTGCACATCGATTCAGCTTTTGAAAGGCGTTTTCCGTCATCAACGCTCCTTGAGAGCAACCATCGACTATAGATTTCATTAAAATTTTCTCACCATTTTTTGCCAAAACATTCACGAACGCCACTGGTAATAAATTTGCTTCATTTTTCGTTGTTAATAAAACTTGTACTTGCGATGAATTGCCATCCGTATTGGCCGTTGTTACATTATTTGACGTCGTAGCTATCAGTGTTGTTTGCGTTTCGTTCCTCGCTTCTTTTTTTGCTTCGAAGTGCAATAAAGTATTGTGTTTCTTTCCGCACGTCTTGCACATATATTTGCTTGAACACTGACCTTTCTCATGCATTTGAAGACATACTACACACGCTTTTTCGTTTTTCGCCCATTCGCTTCTCTCTTTCACGCTCTTCTTTTTGAAATCGAAGCACTTGTATATCGAATGAGGCTTATTACAGTATGTGCACCCAAATGGAGTTTCGTAGACCTTTTTACTCTTTTTTTCATACTTTTCAGTTTTTTCTAAACTTTTCTGGCCGCTATTTTCTGCCGATAGCAACGCCATGAAACGATGTTCCACATATTGTAAGAATGATGACAAGGTTTGCAGTTCACGTACGTCGTTTAATTTGGATTCGTAGTCGATGACCGTAGATTTGTGCAATTTTTTCTTTAAAATATGGATGATCAACGGATCCCAATCTTTGATGTTTACGTTGTAGTTTTTTATTGCCATTAAACATTCATTGGCCGTGTCAAATAAATTTTTCAAACCATTGCTCGTCTCAGCGCTTTGACATGGAATATCAAGAATTTTTTCGATTAACTTTCCGACATTCTCGCGTTTATTACCATATTGTCGTTCCAGAATGCTATACACGTCTTGGTAATTAGACTCTTCTGGTGTCAGATGGCTTACTTTTTTCGCTGCTTCACCTTTTAAACATGATTTTAAATACTGCACTTTAATCGCTTCTGGTATTGAATCATTTTCGTGCACCATTTTATCAAACATCGATTTAAATTCTCTCCAGTTGTCACTTGCACAATCAAACTCCGGCAATTTTACTTTCGGAAGCTTTACGTTCGCGTTTTGCATGGAATTATTTTTCGTATCGTTTAACTTTCCACACAATGTAACGAATTTCTGTTGTATTTCGTTGAATGAAATTCCATCACACCACTTTTTTTCCGTAGACACTTTCACTTGTCGATATGTTGCTCTGAATTCAGACCAGATGATTTTCAACTGGTCTAATTGGGCGTTGGCTACTCCTTGAGACACCGTTTCGTTTCGATTTAACATTTTAAAGATGTCGAATAGCTCTTTTTTCTGATACAGCATAACTGCCACTGTTGGTGGAAGCTCTTCTTGAAAATCATTATCAGCATTATCACCGTCAACGCTTTCATTTTCGTCATCGTCGTCCGCCAACAAATCCACAAATTCAATTTCTTTCGTTGTTGTTTTTGCACACTGTTTAATTGGCGTCGCGTTGCCTGAAACACCAGAGCCTGTTGCTGCATTTTTTTCCGTTTGCTGCTTAAAATCCACCATATCTTGCTGAATTTTGCTCCTTATGTCTTGATACCCCGTTTTTGCTTTTTCAAAATGATTGTCGGTAAAATACTCGTCTTTTTCATTTTTTCCCGTCTCGATCAATTCATGATTGGCTTTGTCAAAACTGACCCACCAATCTTGCAATCGTTGTAACCTCTTTTCGAAGTATTCAACCTTGTTTTTTATGCTTTTTCCATCTTTGCTGTAATTCGTTACGAACTTCTTCAACGTGTCCATGCGCTGCTTCTGAGCGGCTAGCTCTTTGCTAATCTCTTCTTGATCGCTCATATTTATACTGAGGTATTGAGACGTTCACGCACAAACCGTTTAGCACACAACAAACCGTATTATTTCTCGATAGAGCTTGTTCACATAAATTTCGTGTGTTGAATTCACTCACTGTTCAAATTACTTGTTCGCTGTCTATACGTGTTCATAAATTTTCATAACAAATTCAACAAGCGATGTTTCAATTGGTTTCGAACGTCGTTTAAAATATTCGTCGTAATGTGTTCTTTTTATTTTAAGATTGTCGAAGGACCAAAAAATGTAAGGGATTACACTTTTAAAGAGTCAAATGAAACACATTCATATTTGCTGAAGGTTTACATAAAACTAAATTCATTTTATTCAAAGAAAGACATGTTTCGATTGTTTACTTTGGTTGACTTTGCATTAAATTGTACTTTGATTGATTTGCATTAAATTGAACTTTTGAACATTGTGAAATAATGATGAAAAAACCTGCTTACTGAAGCTAATTTTACTTTTGCTTGAATACTGTTTATTATTAATTTCTTTGTTCATTCCTGAACACATGCACTCCTCATAAATATTGCGAATCGGCCCGATGTATTTCCCAATCGGCATGTCTCGACGACAAGGGAATGTGTAGACCTTCCGGCCCAGCATTCCTCCCAGGTATCGGCGCAGCGACTTCAAATTCGTTGCAAACAATGACTTCAACACGGTGATTTGGCACGCTTGTTGACCATTTGCCAGTACCGAGGCCAAGATTGGTACGATGACCGCCGTTTTTCCCTCACCCATATTCAGCTGCATCGTCGAGTGCTTCGTACCAATTTCTGGTGGATTGATCATTCGCTTGGCGATCTCGATTTGGATGCGACGAATCGACAAATTTTGCTCGATTTCAAAGAGAAGCCATTCGGGGTATTCACTCGGTTTCCAATTGATATGTGGTTCGTTTTCGATTTCTCTGTCATAGGCCGGTTTCAGTTGAGGCTGTTTGGAGAATGTTTCGATTCGTTCTTTTCGTTGTTCATTTGCAATCGTTATGGCCAAGGCTCCGATGACCATTCTTAGTGAGTTTGGTGTTTTATCCGAGATCAGCATGGGTAAAACTAAAGTTGGCACGTTTCGTGGATACAATCCGGCTTCCAATAAATGTGGCCATTGAACTGAATGGACAATCATATCGTAAATTGACCACCAATCTTTAGATGATTTGTTGCAATCAACACTTCCGGACTCCCAAACAAATTTTGCCTCTTCAATTTTATCTTTGTGTTCGTTCAAGCTTTGGCACAGCTTTGACTTGTAATCAATTTCGTACTTTTGCCAATTCTCTGCTTTTGGATTGAAGTATGGATTAATCGTTGGGTGAATCACATTCGTTCTGGGTAGGGAATGGAGTTTACTCTCAACTTGGTCAAGGAAAATGCCAAGACGATGGTTGTTGTTCCAAAGTAGCAATAATTTGTTTATCTCTTCATTAGCATTGTGAATGTTAATGTCTTCAGAGAGACTGGTATTTCGTGGCAGGTAGATTGAATCGCATGGCCATACCTGAGTCACGATTGCCGTCAATTCTGATATGTGTTCTTCTATGCGACTGTCATATCTCCTGCGGTCATTGTTCGACCAATGGTCACTGTGATATCTACTCGGTGTTGTGTGATTATTACGCAAAATGCTCCTCACCCTCGATGCATCGTACGTTCCTTCTTTCAACACATAGATATTTATGTTGGGAGGATCAATTTCAGCAAAGTCACTGCAATTTATGTAAATTGCTTGCAGAGCTAAAATTGAACCGATGTGATTTCCTTCATATGCCAACAAACTCCATATTGATGCCAATTGCTCGGAGTTTAGTTTTTGCTTTCGACAAATTTCGTAGAATGAAATCCAGAGATTATAGAATGTCTCTTTCACATCATGGTTCAGAATGTTTTGGATGTGATTAATATGAATGGGGCCAGTTAACTCATCACTGCTGCACATCACATAATTCTTCAGGCCTGGAGCAGATGGTACAAGGTACGATTCCTTGTGGTAGGCCAAGGTCACATTTTGAGTGTTTGACGAAAAATGAACCGATGGTGTTGTTATCAGCGAAGTATGCAACGGTTTGTGTTCGATGTATTCATCTGATATGCGTAAGTTTGGTGTTGATTCCAAACACCGAAGGTAATCACGTTCATTTAAATCCGTTTTAACTTTATTTGATGAACTCGAATCGCTAGAATATAGACCACAAATACGTTCACTGTCTTCCAATAGCTTCTGTACGATAACAACGTATGTGTCTTGCGCCGAGCTCGGCGGAATGAATGAAGGCCATTTTATGTTCAGCATACTTTCCTTGAGTTCTCTTTGAGGCGACAGTTGTGCAATATTCTGGAGAGTTTGAGCTGCTTCAGTGTCATAAGGGGCGGAGGACCACACATATCCTGACTGAAGTATTTGAAGTGCTCGTTCCGTACCAGATATTCCAGTGCGTGGTTCGATTTCACCGTGCGAGGTGAGTGCATGCAAATAGGCGAGATAAAACCATGCCGAGTAGCTGTTGCTGTTTGGTTTCAACTGACGACAAAACTCATCCACTTGGTACGCAAAAAACGGTGGTTTGTGAAGATCTGATTGAATGTCGATGTCAACTGTGACGTCCGAATTCATTCGTTCTGTGTTGACTTTTCCATTGGGTAATAAAAGTAATCTCGTGGTTTTTGAACCATTGGAAACATTTTCTAACAGTAAGCCATGATTCAAACCGTATAAATTTCCGCATTTCTGATGCAGAGACACGCGCATGTTGCTGAACTCATTTGACAAGAGATCGTTGGCTTGGTCATGCCACATGGAACAGTCGACTTTGAATTTCAATTGCATTCGAACCAGTTCCACCTTGGCGATTTGCGGTTCGTCCATCAACACATGAATGTACCGGAGTCGTTCCAAGCGAGACAGTTGTTTGACAATTTTCAGGTAGCTTTCACTTGTGATATCCAGCATATTCCGTCGTGTCTTCAAATGGAACAAAAGATATTCCATCAAATCCAGTGTGTACTCGATTCCGGCTTCAGCGGAGAAATCCTTGGCTCTGAATAGCTTTGGACGAAACTCAATATTATTTGTACTTTTGTTCCACCAATGGCTGTGATTTTCGATCAAAAGCTCAGCGATTTCTCCTTCCAGAACACTTGGTGGCAATAATTCTCTTTCAATCTCAATATCGTTGCCACCGTCAACCTTCAATCGTCGCTCTATAATGATTACACCCTTTGTTGTGTGCATAAATTCATAGCTGTTGCCATTGTATCGTTGAACGGATGAAAAGCTGTCTTCGGCATCGGGTTGTACTTCAAACACAAAGTTCTCGAACACTCGTTGAAAGAGTGTGTTTTGAATGATCGCATCCGGAAGTCGGCAAATAGGCAAATTATTCACCAAAAACGAACCCGTTATCAAGTCGATCGTCACGTACTTTTTTACTTTGACATAGACTTCAACCACCAACACTTGTGGGCAGTCTGAATAAAAGTTAAACTTTTCGAAATGTCCTTTTTCTGATCGTGTCCATTGTTTCTTGATAAGTTCATACACATCACCTGGATTACGTCCGATCATTTCTCGTATGGTGAATTCAATGTGAATGCCGGTGTTTCGCACCAACCGGAGAAGCATTCGAAGATTCATTGGCAATGCGGTGTTGTTGCAGCTTAAAATCATATTGCTGTTCAATGTCACGATGAATTGCAACCATGTGCGAGGTGAACTGAATTGGTTTTTCGTATTCTCCAAAAATATTTTGTCGAAATACTTGTGCCGCGAATGAACGCAAAATGTTAGTGCTCCGGCAACAGCGACAAAAACCAACTTCATACGTAGTTCCCTTTCGGTTGTAGGATCTGGATTATGAAGTTCTTTGATCGCATGTTGAATTTTTTCCACCCAATCCAAAGCGACGGTCCGTATCTGATTAAGAACCGTAACAATTGCTTGAGCCAAATCTTCGTTGGTGTTTAGTTCAAATATACGGACAGTGATGAGAGTCGTCATCACCAGTTTCAATGGATGTACCCAGTTGTTCTCTTGTTTTTCGACGAATTTGCTGAGTGACTGAATCATTGCTCGCGTTAATTTGATGGATGCAATATCTTCATGAGATTCACGATTCACACCTGCTGCTCCGTTCACTTCGGCTTCCCAAATCGACTGCAAGACTAACGATAACACTGATGAGTTCTCGAAGGACAACGCTTCAGCCTCGATCATTGCGTACAATTTACGCCACTGTAATCGATGGCCATCAGCTCGCAAAGAACCGAAATTCTTGAACTCCAACAAGGATAGACTTTGTGGGCATTCGGATTGACGAGCAAGCACTTGGTTCTGAGTGTGACAAGTTCCATTGAGAGTCCACTGCAAACAGCTGTATTCGTTTTCCGTCTGTAAAGTGGATCTTTGTTTGATTGAATGCTCTGTCATTGTGGTTTCTAGTGCTGAGTTGGATGAATGAAATGTGCAATTGAAACCATTGGCCCGATTGAAACAACTAAAATCTTCATCAACATGTTGCAATTGTGATACGTTTGGTGTTGTACTTCCAAGGTGTGAATGATTACTGGTCGATTGATTGTATTGAGAAATTTGTGAATAGTTGATCCAATTTCCACGAATGCTCAAACTTTCGGTTGGCCGGCGGTTGCAATACTTGACAAATGTTTGCAGAGAGTCACGCAAACAAGCCACCTCCAGTGGAATTTTCAACTCGAAAACGACGGCATTTTTTTCGTGGTCCCTATCAGGTAATGCTCGTTCATAAACAGTAATTTTCACGTTTGCAATTTGTGTTTCTAGGACACATAGTTGACAACCGCCATTATGGAACGTGCGGCCATAATACTTACTGTAATAGTATTCATGTGTCAAAGGAGAGGCTCTTCTTCGAAGATCTTTGACTTGTTCTCGTCCATTTAACCATTCTTGTCTTTTTTCAGCAATTTTTCTTTCAATCATCGCCATGATTTTTCGCTAACATTTCGTTGGCCAATCAAACTTGGATCGGTCCCTTTTGAGTTTCGATCATTGAAGTACTGTTCCAATTCGTAGGCGATTTGCATGTCGATGGAATACGGTAGCAGAAGTGAGTCGATGACTTTCGGGTTGATTCCACTGTGGTGTTGGAGCAACATTGGATGAGCTTTGGTTGCGATCTTGTCAAGAATGGCCAACATTTTCAAGCAAACCAGCACCGATCTGCTGACTCCAAGTTGATCGCCTTCGTAGAAACTTCCGGCATGTGATATATAAGTGGTGCACCAGTTCCGCAGATCATTTGGTCTAAAACGTGTTTCATTGATGTTCAAATCGTACAAAATCCAGTTTTCGAAATCGGTGATGAACAAATTAGTATCGACTTCATTGGTGACTTGACCGAATATACTTGGATTTGGAGGACTTGGATGCTTCATATAGTGACGCTGATATGTCTTCACTTGTAATTCAGGGGTGTTAGCAATTTGATACACACCATTCATTCGATCATCGAGATACCGGCGTAATTTAGGCACTTTTTGATAAATATCCGCTTCAAAACTGAATTCCATCAAAGCAGACAGTTTTGAACGCTCTTCGTCAGCCAATTGAAGGTTTCTGATTTGCTTGCTGATTTTTGTACGGGTTTCCTGGATTGTGTTGGTGGCATCGCGAATGACACGTTGCTTCAAATCCTTGAATTTTCCATCTGCCATTTTGGACAGCTTTTCGATGCGTCGCGCCAACTTGGCCAAAGTTTGTGTGACCAGATCAATGTTGAATGTTCGGAAGGATGGTTCGTTGAAAATTTCGCATTGACGCGACAAAAACTGGATTGTTGTAGACTTCGGTGTGATTCAATCTGCCAGGGAATGTGGCCACAATCATATCGTTCGAACCAGTCGTAGCATCGGCTTGATGTCGAATCATGATGGCACAGTTTTGTCGGCGAATAAACATGGCAAACGTTTCGCCTGGTTTCAAGTCGTTGATTTCCTTTGCAACAACATCGGCCATGCGGCTTCGATGCACTGTAGCCAAAGAGCGGAACATGTTCACCGTGGTTGCTGGGATAGACTCGGCAAGACTTTCCACATTTTGTACCATTCTCATCATCAGCTCCCGCTCATGCGAATGGAAGTCTGGCGATTTGGATTGGGGCAAATAGCGAGGAAGAACGATGTGATTCAACAGTGCTTCGTGCCTGATTTGATGATCGGATATCGCCTTATCGCCATTTGATTCCTTTGTGAGAAAACCGCAATTTTAAATTCTTGTTTTGTTTGCACAAATAAATGTTTGTTTTACACTTACCATTGCGAATCGATAGGACAATTATCGATAGGTAATTGAGATTGCTTGATTGATACTCGATGATATTAGATGACTATTTCACAATAGTTATTGCCTGAAAGTTTCGAATTGAGATAAATGTGATTTAGTTTCATTAAAAGTGTAGTGATAATAATAATAATGCAAAGGGCCACAACGAACAAAACTAATCACAACCTAATTGGTAATTTGTGTGAGACGTACTATTCCCTTTCATTGCATTTTACGATAAAATAAACTTCAAAATAAGAAGAGAGCAAGATTTGGTAAATGTTTATTTTGTATGAACACTTCTTTTAACACTCGCTTTCGAAACCATTCAAGCATCGATTCATAATTCATCGCTTATACCGTACTATAATCAATCTAAGGCATAAGTTTCAGTAACAATCCAGTGTTTGTTTTCATGGCGATAAAAGTAAATCATTGCCAGTGTAAGTGCTATGGGTAACTCGATCGAATGAAATTTTGTTTGAGTGCATGTATGGTGGAAATCTGACGTAAGCGAAAATGTGATCAGCAATTTATGAAATGAGCGAAACATTAAAACGCCGTTTTATTGCTCTTCTCGTGAGGGAGGAACAATTCGATTCGTCCAACTTAGTCCAAGAAATATGTATAAAATTTAAAAACGAAATCTCTGAGGCTCAAATAAACTTAGACCATGAACAATGTTCATTGAACATTTTTTTTTAAGTTATTTTTTTTTTCTATTCGGACTCACGAAAATGAATCACTTTGATTACTTCTTTATTTCATACCACAAAATTATCCACATCAACTCGCAGTAACAAATGAATCGGAAAAATTTGAGTTTTTAATTTCAATTTTATACTTCGGATAAACACCAAAAATTTGGGACAGCCAAAATATGAACATTTAAACTGAATGCATTCAGCATGCTTTGCTCTGACAAATAGTCTGTCGTCAAAATTTATGTATCTCACACTAACTTTTACATTGACTCTTGTGCAAATTATTGCTGGAGTGAAAGAGATGTTGCTCGCAGTAGACTCAGTTTATATGTTTTTTAGCCTCTGATTCAAAAGAGCCTCAAATGAATGCCGGTGATTTTGTTGTATTTTTCTTGATCTAATATCTTCATGACCATCGATTTTGATATAAATTAGTCACTTTTTTATCGCTAAACATCCCGTTGGCACTTTTTTTAACGACATAAATACATCTTTTTCGAGTAGGTACAAATGAAACTACTTTGTTTGCCAAAAATAAATGATGATAATTTATCAACGAAATTTTTCTTTTATAAAAAACGAAACACAGAACGAGCATTCACAAGGAAATTCATTTTTGATAAAACCACGTAGATACTCACAGTTGAAAAAATGATTAAAATGCACTATGCAGTGTAGACATTCAGTTTGCACAAAATTAATTTATTTTAAACGGATCACTTCTGATTTGTTATTCCAAAAGAAAATGTTGTTCACAGTTCAAGAGAGAGACTCGTAATGCGACTCGCTGTTCAGTTGGACATTTGGTCGACTACCGCCGTGCTGTGGTGAGATATCTATGTGTTGGTGTGCGCAACACGTATTGTGTGAATGTAAAGGATACATCTCTAGTTTCGTTGTTGCCGCACATTTGTACACACAAAACCGCTTGAATCTTACTTACATTGGAAGAAAAAAAACACAGCCTCTCTTTAACTCAGCGCGAGCATTGCCTACTTTGCTCTGTCATCACATTTCCATTAGTTGCGCTCGTGACGAAGAAAGAGAATAAGAACAAAATTGAGCGACACATCGAGAGTACAGATATGAACAAAGAAAGGAATTGTAGTGAAAACAAACAACTATACTGAATGGTACATGAAGAACCGAGCGTCCACTCAAGTCATATATAATGAATTTATGACAAAAATTTGTATATTTGATCGCTTGCCGCATTAAAAGTGGTTCGACTTTCTTAGTGTTTTGATTCCATGAAATTGATTTTCTCATGTCGACTGTTTTTCTGGTGACATCATCAAAATGAAATGTTTGTAATTATGCATGCCCTTTCCATCATAAACACCATGACTAATATCAACAAATCCAACTTGAACGGCGTTTGATCGAAGACGCTTGCCGAATATTTGAAAGAGTGGAAGAGACGGAAGATAAAACTGTTATGGCTTTTTTCAAATACACAATTTTGTGCGTTCAATTTTTCTGTAGCACTTGAAGAACTCACCAACATCGTAATTCGAATAGCGATCTGTAGCTTTGATTAAATTATAAGGAGCGATGAATACGTTTGACTATAAATTAAATTTCAACGGGAATTCAATTAAAATCATGCGTTACATTCATACAAATCTCTTAAATCACACGCTACAGAAAATTGTGTTTATGCACACATTTCTATCAAAATCAATAAGTCATCTGATTCGCATGGGAAATGTTTGTGGATTTCTTTGTTGCAATTGAACTGGAGTTATTGGTTTGGAAAGCAAAACATTTTCTTTTGTTTCGAATAAACAGACATTTCTGCTGTGGTAGTTTTGTTTTCTGAATTAATTGTGACAAATTCCATTGGATTAGTTCTCTCATTTAAGTTCTGATTCGGTGGCGATTTTGCATCAAATCAGTGAACGTATCCATTCATGTGACGCAAAAAGTCAATTTTAATGCTTCGAATAAAATTCCAAATGCATGTCCAAATTGCAAGTCCTCTAACCTCAATCGACAGCATATGTCAGTCTACGTGGACACATAGTCTTGAATGATCTTCATTTTAATTTTTGCGATATTAAAATAAAGAGTTTCTTTCTCTTCCCGACGAAAAATCATAATAATTCATTGAAAAAAATGGAAAATCCACAACAGAATGTCACTGAAAATGTAAACCAATCGAACAATGAAGCAGTAAGTATTGAATCAAATATAAAATTGCAAACAAATGAGAATGATATGCACTTATTTGACAATTCAATGAGCCACAGCTTATAGATTATAGCACATTTCCATTGGATTTATTGCATAAAATGCTTAACACAAATTCTTTTGATTCCTTTCATAGATCGCCCATGATAAGTTTTGCTGGTTTTGTCACACAAAGAACTCCAGAGGATATAGCTGTTTGAAATGCTTTCGTTCATTTCATGTCAAATGCCTGAAAAAGAATTTTGAAATCATTGGCCCAAACGATCAGGGTAACTCGTTGATTTGTCCAGTTTGCAAGTCATTGGAAAGAATGGAAACAAGTGTCGACAAGTATGTGCTTTATTTTGTAGTACAAAAAAGAGTAATGACAGGGATTTTCACAAGGGGCGAATCACTACTGAATTGACTGAAAGTACTGAAAACTACTGAAATTTGTTTTCTTGATACTGAAAAGTACTGAAAACCGGTTTTCAGTACTTCAGTGTCAGTTTATGCATTGAATACGTCAAACTATGACGCTTGACTTATATCATTAACGCCATACAGTTTAAAAATTGATATTGAGGTAGAATTTTGGAAAAAATTGAAAAAGATTTGTCTACAAAAGTGCCAAACTATAAAAATACGACATTCAGTAGTTTGGAAATAAAAATACGCCGAAAAACATTTGTGTAAAAAATCCATTCTTGTTTTGTTTGGCTTTAGTCTTCGTGGTTTCAGAGATGCACTGACATTTCTAAGAGTTGATGATACACACATCAATGTCATAGAAATTTTCATTCGACGAAAATTGCCAGACATATATTTTCGACATAAATCACTCTTTCCTGATGTCAGCTCCTTTATTGTGTCTTTAGACTTTTCTAATTAAAATATAAGTGGACTTTATTTTTGATAAAATACGTTCAATTTCCATTTCGAATGCTAAAAAACAAACATTAAACACAAGTGTCAAGAAATTTTGACAATACTGAACTGCAATAAAAGTCATATATTTACTAGGTACTGAAAAAACTGAACCGCTACTGAAAATCGATCGCAGGTACTGAAAAGTACTGAAAACCGGTTTTCAGTAGTAATTCGCCCCTTGGATTTTCATGGCTTTTTCCTCCATATTTAATTTCAAGGCAATCTATTTCGGAGCTATTGAAGCTATTGATGGCGAAAATTTCGGATAATTCGGTCGTGAGTAATGTCAATCTTCAATTTCCAAACGGAACAAATGACATTATTGCTTAAAATAGCGAAATGAATCTTTGAATAATTCACATTTTCATGCTTCACCCTACTTAGTTTACGGCATTGAACAACTTGGACAGCATCTGCGTGGTTCATCCAATCGATCTAAATGAAATAAATCGTAAGATCGACAGTCAATCCTTTGGTAGCTTCAGTGCATTCCTCATGGATATCAACATTGTTTATCACAATTGCTGTTGCGTTCGTAATGGTCAGTGAGTTTGAATTAAATTCATATCCATGCTTTGTTTCGTACTCGATTTTTCATTGTTGTCCCTATTGTCTATTCCAGATAAACATGAATTCATTTTTATTGCGGCCAACAATTTGGTCAAACTCTGCACCACTGAAATTGAAAACATGTCCAGCTGTGCCGAATGCTATAAAAATATGCACACCAAACCAGATCATTGGCGTTCGTTGGCATGCCGTCGTCCGCATCTTGTACTTTGGATCGAATTGAAGCGTGGCTGCTACTTTTGGCCAGCCGAAAAAGGCTACAGCTATTGGCCAGCGAAATTGATATCAATTGGTCGGAAAAATGTCAAAGCCATCTTCTTTCATGATGCGGAATTCGTTGAAATTCCCCGAACCAATTGCCTCATCTATTCGAAAAGCGAAACAAAGCCATCAAAGTCATTTAAATTAATGCCGAACCCAACGGATATGCTGGAGGTGTTGAAAGTAAGAATTAATTTTCAGATTTAATTAGAAGACTCATTTTAATCGTATTTTTTCTTAAATACAAAACCAGGAGGTGAATTTATATGAACAGAACATCAAAGCGAAATTTGGCCATTTTGAAAGCAAATTGGAATGCGTTCGATTCGATCGGCTTGATGTGCACATGCGAGCAATGTTTCCGGAATATACTGGCAGTCCACTGGATGCCCAAAACTATCTGATTCCCGCTGACGAAACAAACAACACCGACGACAAGGATGAATTGCCGGAGAATGACGAGGCGAGTTTTTCAACTAAACAAACTGATAAAATTCCAAAGAAAAGGCAACGAATTTCCGTGGGTTTTGATAACGGTCCAGAGCCATCAGATGGCGAATCAATCATCCAACGAAAAATCCGCCAAACCAGACGAGATTGGGAGAATATTGAGAATTTGACGATGAATTTGGAAAACACAAACAAAAAGCTGACCCTCGAATTGAAGAATATGAAAAAATCGCACACTGATTGCCACAAGATTAACACCGAACTGCTTGCTCAATTGAAAGCTGTACATAATGAGCGTGACAGTGTGAAGAATGAAATGGACAAAGTGATTGCGGATCATGGCAACGAGATAGCGAAATTGAATGAAACAAGCAACCAAGCTGCTGCTGAGGCCAAGGTCAAAATTGAACGATTGAAACAAGATAAAGAGGTGTTGCGCCAAGGGCTAGATAACAGTTTTAGTAGGATGTCGGACTTTCAAGCCAAATTGAAATCTGATCACAAACGTGATTTGGAGGAAATACGTGAAGAGCACAAAAAACGATTGCAATTCGAAAAACGACGTTCCTCAGATGCGATTGAAGAACTGAAGGTGCAACACAACAAAAAAATCATCGAAATACAGCAGAAATTGAAGGAGCACGATAAGAAAATTACTGCATTGGAAGTAGAGAAGAGCAATGTCGAGACGGAGCTGAAGAAAAAATGTGAACATTTTGATCAACTCAAATCCATATTTATGCGAGAAGATTGATCAAATTGATGGGTAAGGGACATCAATTCAATTCAGATTATGTAGATTTTCTCATATGAATGTTGCGAATTCACTATATTGGTAGTTCCAATTTTGATTAAAGCGATAAACTCGATCAATACTTGAAAACTATTTTTCCGAAATATCAAAATGCATTTTTTGATCACTTTTTTGAAAAGAACATACTTTACCTTATTTTCTATCGACTTTGAAGTCCTTTTTTTTATTTTTAGAACCGTTTCAGCCGGCAAATTTCAGATGTTTATCACGAAGCCAATACAAACTCCAGAAGCATCGATTTGAAGCAGCATGGATTTCCGGTGGAAAAGAGAAAGTGAAGCAAATAAAATTAATTGAAAATCGTATCGGCCACACAAGCAGCAAACATCAATAGAGCCTTGCACATAAACCAGCAGTTACTCATCAATACATTGCACCAATTCATTTATTTCCATGTTTTCGGTTTACCAATTTTTTAAATCAAATTCAGCTTTGACGCCTTTAAAATAAATGTTCTATACAAGTATTCCCACATTTGACTTTGTTTTAAGACACTTTTATTGCTAGAAGACGCGTTCAAGTAACTTTCAGGAGAAATAAACTGATTTTATATTTTAATAAAATTTGATGGATTTTGAATAGTTGTGGTTCGATTCAGCATTTGTACAGTGAATTTGAAATTACGGAATCAAAATATGTATAACCCATGCAATCCAGTTCTTCCGTATTATCAACTTGAAAAGATTGCCATTTCCATCCCGTAGTTTCCATTTAACATTCTTTCACACATCTTTGTATTTAATCGACAAGATAGATCGAAGCACTAAACGTTGCCTTTACGAACATTGTTCTGTTACGCAAAGGTAGACAGATTTTCGAAGGGATACTTCAACATCAAGGCTATGAATGGTTTATTCGATAGTTTGAAGAAAATCGAAGAAAAAAAAATTCTTTTTAATTTATAAGTTAAAAAAGATGAGTCATTTTTCTGTATTTCTAATTTGAACAGAAGGTGAACAGTCACTCAATTTTCTTGGTTGATTTTTTCACATAATTCGAAGCAGGCTTGATGGTGGCAGAAATGAAATCATTTGAATATTATCAAACTTGTAGATGGCAGAGATGACTGAAGCGCACCGAGTGACCGAGCAACGGCCGCACGGACACTGAGTTTGCGTGCTTAAAACATGCTCAGTGCGATATTGCGCTGCAGCACAAACAAACCCACTCCATGAAGAGAGTATAAGCGCACCAACGGAGTGCGCTACACCGCACTCGTACACAACGAAGAAACAATAGAGAGGATATACAAAGAAAGAAACACAAAGAAAAGAATAAGACAATACACACTCAACTCTTTATATGTGTGTATAAACCATAATAGGCAACAGAGTTAGAGTGCGCACACATTTCTTAACAACAAAGTCAGAGTGCGCACATAAACTCATAACGAAGTGAGTGTAAACGCACAGAGCAGAAAACGACTCTCAGTTGAGTTGCTGAATACGCTACTGAGCGTGCGCTTAGTCATCTCTGGTAGATGGCATGAGTGTTATATTCTTTGAAAAATGAGAGGCTGACATTAGCAAATTCTATCGGACAAACTGTTGTGTTCTTTGTTCTAATTCCGTCTTCCAGCCAGTGCCTTGATTTTGTTGAATGAATCTAAGCTGGATTTGAATTATAATATTTACAAAGGGGGCGCCAAAGAAATGTCACATCAAATGCAAAATGTCAAAATGTGAAGTTGTGTCTCGCTTAGTTGTACTTTCATTCCGTACATAACACCTGCAAACTGCAGCCAGAAGATAAAGCATATTGCGACGCTGCCGCCGAAATCACAGGAAACCATTGAATAAAAAGTAAGCATTCATTTTGGTTTATTTTTGATTTTCCCATATTTTCGTTCGGTTTGGCCATGAAAAAAATAGATTCTTCATTCCGATCAAAACAAATTCACACAAAACAGAAAACAACCTCCATCCTATTGCACACTGTTTCCGAGAAAAGAATTTCATCACATCTCGTAGAATTTGCATATTTCTTGCGATTCCAATTTAGATGTTTTAGAGCAAAAATACATTTGGAAAAAAGTGTATGCAATTTAAATTAATCGCATTCGAAAATGTAGAATTAATGTCATATGGCTAGAGCAAATATATATTTGTCGTCGATTTTCAAGTCATCTTTCATTTTCATTTGAGGTTAAGACAATGTTGCGTTGGCAAGTAAGATAGCTCTCTCGCTCGAAGAGTACAAATGAAACATTAAAGTTAGAAAGAGAAAGACTGTAACACCGAACATGTGTTGAAGTGATAGCGTCAGCCGATCAACTTATATTTTCCCTTGGTCTCAGCGCTTTATGCTTGCCTTTCAACTGTTGTTTCTCTTTGGCTAAAATTTGTGATAGCGTTTGCTAAATGAAACACAATGAACAATTTCTTTCAATTTTCGTGAATCTCACCAAAGTGAGAATATATTAAGAATATTTATTGGATACTTACAAAAGCAAAATAAATTCCCTTTTAACTTATTTCAGATCATCAATCTCCATTCGCGAGCAGTGAAAATGAATGTCGAATGTGAACAACAAGGCAGTGTTAGCCAAGTGACCATTACTGGACCATCAAATGATACATCGCAATTGAGTTTGGCCACACTGTTCGTTGACTGTTTGGAAGAGCTCTTCGTCTGGTTATCATGTGCCGATCTATTCGCTCTTCGTCGAAAGTGCAAGCGATTGAAAACAACCGTCGATTACTACATCAAAGTTAACTACCCAAAAATTGGAAAAGCTAAGATCAATGACCAAAGATTCCAACGGCTTCATCAGATGGATGGCGATTCTATCGGTTTGATCAAGGATATTTCGTTTAAAACTGAAACAATATTGGATGCATCACAATTGGCGAAAATCAAAGAGATTTTGGGCAAAGTGCAACGGATCATATTAGATAGATCGCACATCACAGCCGAATTCTATGATTGTTTCTTGAAGCATTGCTCCAATCTAAGGGGCTTATACATCGGTGATAAAGGAGGTGCAGCAGCGAATGCTAATGTTGTGATTGGGACGGACAACTCATGGCTACTTCGAGAATATCCATCGCTTGAGTCCATCCAAATGTATGGTGCAATTGAAGTTCCCGAACTAAAGACATTCTTCTGCTTGAATCCAAACATGCGATTCCAAACTGACGTCAAGTTTCTCGAAACAAATCGACATCTCTTGAGTGATGCTCAAGTGGATCAACTACTCATGTGCTATGTAATTGTAGACATCGGCTCCATAATCGATTTGTTTGGCGAACTTTATCGCCACGGATTTTACAAACGATTGTCCATATACGCATTATTCCGACTCCATGTTCAAAATGACATCAATCAACTAGCACTAATTCCCGCATTGCACACTCTGTGGTTTTTCGATCACGACAAAGGCCGTATCTTGCCTTCAATGCCACATTTAAAGTATGTCGTTATAGGATTGGTCGATGAATCGGAAGTCTTTGAGTCCTGTGCCAAGAATAATGTCGGCAACATTGAACGACTACGTATGCTCGAAGGTTCAATCGTGAAAATCGCATCATTCCTTCGACATTTCCCAAAACTCAAACATATCGATGTCTTCCGCTTCGTGAATCGTGAAACGTATTTCGATGGAGATGTCATTGATTTACAAGCGTTGAACAAAGAGCGCAAGAAATTGGAAAATGCTTGCAAAGTCACACTTTACGTCCAAGAAGACATCTATTTGGCTACGAAATGGGCCACCATGAAGACGGCATTCGATTCAATCGAATTGAAACGATCAATTGAAACTCAGCATTGAAAATTAGGTAATTGAATGGTTTTGATATGAGCACTCCAAAGGAATCTATACAATTACAATACAAAATCGACCATTCACAAGACGAAGAAATTATTACAATAGAATAATATCAAATGAATTTACCAATACTTATTCACTTTTTCACATTTATACAGTTTTTTCTATCAAAACACAGAATGGAAGTAAAATGTCATACATTATTATTAATAATTTATTAATTTTCCGAATAAAAATATCCATTAAATTCAAGTGTATTTTCTCATTTAAACTCTTCTTCTATTTTGTGAACAAGTGAGAATTAGATATATATATATATATATATGGTTCTAATACGAAAATTCGACGTGTCGCTGTAGATGTGGAATTATCTTACAAATTATTCATGAACAATAATAACTGTTCAAATTAAATTCGGATTCTGAACACGAGTCAGATTTAACACGGATTGAATCAAAGTTTTAATGAATGAATAGATAGTTACTACTAGAGATTTCTAATAAAAAAGTCGAAAAAAAGCAGAAGGTTTATATATTGAATACACGCTTTCGTTCAGTTGAAAAAATAAACAGAAAATTGAAAATTCTTTATTTATTCAAAACTCATCTGAATAATCAGTGGTGACCGTAGCAATTTTATCGAAAGTACTGAGAGATTTATTGTTTGGGGTGTAGTAGAAAATTCCATCAATCCAATGCAACTGCGAAAATTCACTTTTCCCATTCTTGAACTTTTCAGTATAAAGCTAAGTACACAGTTCCTCGTGAAATGAAAAAATTTCTCCGGTGAAATTTTCACCAGTGATCTTTGTATCAAGTTTTTTTATATTCAAATTGCAAGTATAATGATTTTTGATGAATAAAACAGTTAGCTGCTATCACTATCAACACAATACATCAATAAATTTGTGTTTTGAATTTATTCTTCTATATATTTCGGTCCCAGCAAATTTTTTCACGGTCGTGAAATTTTTTTCTCGTGCATTTTGCACGCGAAAAATTTTTCACGACCGTGAAAAAATTTGTAGAGGCGAAAATAAATAGAAGAATAAATTCAAAACACAAATTTATTGATATGTTGTGTTGATAATAATGATAGCAGCTAACTGTTTTATATATCAAAAATCATTATACTTGCAATTTGAATATAAAAACTTGATACAAAGATCACTGGTGAAAATTTTACCGGAGAAATTTTTTCATTTCACAAGGAACTGTGTACTTAGCTTAAAAGAAAACACATTAATTTTTATTTGATGTTTGAAAAAATCAATTGAAGTCGAATCAAACAATATTTGTGTGAGATCACGTCAATGGAACCATGAAACACCGTGCCAAATTATTGCAAGTGTGCAACAGATCAAGAGATTTTCTAATGAAGAAGATAAACCAATTTTTTTTGTATGTTGGAAGACTGGATGTTTTTAAATGAAATTAAGTGAATTTTAGTCTGCGGTGAGTGAATTTACAAAACAAATAGTACTTTGAAACAATCCTACCATAACTCGAAACTTCATAGCTTTGTTTGAAATGATAATAAAAATGTCCTAGAAATAGTCTCTAGACTTTGTTTAAGCGAATGATTTTATTGAATTAAAGAAGGTGGAAAGATATAGCATCGGTTTGTTCTTAAGTCTCTAGAATGAATACTGGATTATTAGCTGGATTTATTTGTTTAAGCAATGAAATAAATGGATATGAATTGAAGTGTGGCTTTTGATGGTTTGATTGAATTGTTGATATTTCGTTGGATACGGATGACTTAGCGTTCCAATGTGATGAAGCCATGTTGTTCAGGTGATAAGCGCCATTCGCTGCTAATGCGTTCCAATAAATCATTGTTGGTTGAATTTTGATCGAGTTTGAAACGTAACTTTTTCAGCATTTTGCATACGTTTATCAAATTGATGGCCCCATGAAGCAAAAGATAGCATTTTCCCAAGTCGATGTCAGTCAGTTGTTCCATTGCAGTAGCGAGTTCATCTTGGTCTAATTTTTCGAACATACATAGAGGTTTTAATGCACAATTTTCTCAATGTTGAACGATGGTGGCCGATAAACTTGACGAAGTCAGTGGTGATGTTGAAACTATCCGTGGTTATTGATAGCGTTTTCAATTTATCAAATGAGAACGGCATTTTCGTATATGAATTAAATCCATTCCAAACGTTTAATTCGAGATGCTGTAGATTTCTGAAGTGAACAATGCGATTTTCGAGATCGAAGAAGTTGGCGCAAACAATATCCAATCTCTCAAGATGCTGCAAGTGCTCGCTTATACTTCGAATGAAGGTTTCTCGCAAAATGTCACCACCAACCAGGCTCAAGATTCGTAATTGTGGGTTCAAGCTTAAAATTCCGGCAACATTTTCACGAGCTTGTGAAAAATCTACCATTTGCGATGCAAATCCACCAATTTCCAAGTGCTCCAAATTTGGAAAATGGTTATCAAATTTATTGAAGCTACAAATGCTCAAATTTTGCATTTGTGGAAACAAAACGTTCAGACCGATGAAGCTACTGCCCAAGTCACAGTAGACCAATGAAACTCGTTCGATATTCGGGAATGGCTTTGTAAGGTGTTCGATTGTCTCTTCCTGAGCATTACGAAGAAGAATGTGGTTCAAAGAATTGACACAATATTCGTTTAAATATTGACATACTATAGCCCAGTGTCGAGGATAATAGTTGATATGCAGGTTAGAAATCATATGTCCGAAGCAACGCAACAATCTCAAGCTGAACACTGTATCATAAGCGCAAATGGAACCGTACTCGAATTTAATTGTTTCACTTTCGTCCTCTCGGTTTCTATAGATGGTAACATTGACCTTTCCATATTTGTTCTTAACGCATAATTGACGGCTTCCTTGAAACATTTGCTGGAATCGGCTACCCTCAACAAATCCTTAATAAATCCAGCTGCTTGAAAATGTGCTCAAGACAATTTTCGTCCAAGTCCGTGATTTTGATGGTTGAAATCGGATCTTCTGGAGCATCTGGTCGCATTCTCTTGTTTTGATCTGGCTTAATTTCATCGTTTTGTCGCTTTTGATTCGAACCACCCGTTTGAATCTCCATTTTCGCAGCACTGCTCGTTAACCTAGACATTCAATAGAATAAATCAATATGAAAAATTACTAAAGCTAAAAACACTTTGTAGACTCCGTAGTCTGCAGCCCATTCCATAAGTCAAAGAAACAATGAATAGAATTGACACATAAGGATATTTGAATTTGAGGTTAGGGCCAAATGTATGCAATGAAAATGGATTAAAACACGTTTTGGACTTTGACGAATGAACATTCATTGCATAGAATAAGAATTCAAACGATTTTTCATTATGATTTATCGATGTTTTGTCTATCAATTATTTCACATTATTTTCCCGGAAAAATTCATTGAAAATGAACATTGTATGATATTCATAGGACCGCACAATCTGTGTTTCGCCGATACATGCAAACTTACCTCTCGGGAAAAAACACTTTTGATAATTTTAACTGGTTAGATAGATGATTAAATCTTCTTTTGTGCCTGAACTAATGGCAGCAAACAAACCTTTTGGAATGAATGACGTTAAAATTGCTGTTTTCATGCAACACAAAATGTTATTAATTAATTTTTTGTGAAGATGATGTTTTCTGTGTCCAAATATGGCGACGAATAATTGCGGTATGAGTTTCTCGTTTGAAGTGAAACAATGGTGTCTGTGTGAAAGCGATTGCGAAATAGCGAGCCAATCAAAGCATTGACGTAAGTAGACACTTTTTTTCGAAATGTCAGTATTGCCGCTGTCATTTTCGAACCGTTCCTTCTGTGTGGGAAATTTTGCATTTTCAAATAAAGAACTCTTGCCAATATAATTCTGTGACTAAAAATGGAAAAAAAGCTGCCGATTTTTTACTTTTATAGAGTAATAATTTATTAAAAATATGTGAAATGTAACCTTTTTATAATTGTCAGTTAACAATTGTGGTTCAATTCAAATGGAGATGATTTTCGTTGTATCTTCTTTCAGAATGAGGTTTAAATCTACGCTTTCTGTCATTTTAATGAAATTGTTAACAATTTGTCTCATGAGAATTGTGTTATTCGGAACAACAATTGGAACAACTTGTTCCAATTTCAAATGACTAAACGAAAAAAATTGTCTGGACTCAACGCTGCAGTTCGATTTAGCCTTCTTTGTCAGAAATGCGCCATTCTTTGCTCAGGAAATTCCGTAGCCGATCGCACATTGATGTGTCTTCAACGCGGACGGAAAGCTTGTTTACCGAGCCACAGTTGCGTACAAAGTCGGTAATTTCGTCAATCGCAAATTCATCCGATTCCAGAACGATTTCGATCAATGAACGTTCCGCTTTGGCCAGCTTCAATTTGTCTTCTTCACTTCGGAATAGGTGCGTTTCCACATGTTCACGAAGCAAAGTCAATTTGGTCAAAGATGTTTGAGTGCTGATGAAATCCAAAACAGCGTCACTGAGATGATAAGCGTGTGAGTCCAATGTGAGCTGCTCAAGTCAAATTGAAAACAGCGTATTGAATAGGTCGCCAATCAAAATGCGACATAGATTGTTATAAAAAGATTCATTGTTGTATTACAACAACAGGTCCACACGAAAAAAACACTCTATTGCTTTTTATTCGGCGACCAATTGAATACGCTGTCTATATTATCACGGATTCATTTGATGTACGGCCCGAAACTATGCATGAAAACCACATTTCACACACGTTTTACCAATCGATGAACGAACATTTTTTGCATAAACACGAAAGTTACACAATTTTAAATAGTAATTGATCATTTCTGGGGGTCTATTTTTTGAAGGAATTTTCTAAAGTTAAACATATGATGCCACAATTCCTGAAAATAATTTCCAGTGTTATCTTAACCTGTGTTTTAAATAACTATGTAGTCTTACCTTTCAGAAAACAACTTTTGATTATTCCAGCTGAATTTGATGATATTGTACTTATATACCGGCAAACTCACTTTTC